CCGGTGCATGCGATAAATATACACGCCCTAAATAGTAGTGAATGAACGCAAGCATATGCGGAACGCCGAAAATAAGGACCTGGGCGCAACAATGCGTCAACGCCTGTATCATCCCGGAGATTGGGAATACCAGGGGGATGGTGACGTCGAGAGGGAGCTTGAAGAAGCCCGTGACAAGGACACTGTGCATTACCCAGCATTCGCATGCGAAATGAAGCACGGTACCAAGCCTATTGCCGGCACAACTTCATCATGCTGTGTGGCGCATGATACAATTGGATGCTCACCAGATGAACGCGATCTACACGAAATGGGTACCGGTAAGTGCAACAATCCAGAGGTATAAGCGAGAATGAGATACACACCGCATATCTCAGCGGGGGCGAGTCCTCCTTGAATTTCGAGAAATAGGCGCATACTTGCATGACGATGATTCCGTTCAATACCGCTGCAAGCAGAAAACACACTGTTACACCCCCCCAAGCCTCTTTGAATGACTGCATTGCGCTCTGGATAGGCCCTGACGCTGGGGTACGCCGGTTGAGATCACGAAATGTACCAAGGGGATCGTTGGGAATCGTTTCTTATAACATCTGCCATCCAAATCAATGCACTGCGCTCGCGTCCCCACATAACAGCTTCGAAATGATGAGACCTGGCCGCTAATTATACCTCGGCGCTCATTTTGTCATGAGTAAGTGATACTCGATGCCTATGCCGCTACGGATGCTAGCTGCGGTGCCATACGCAAGTCGGGTCAACGTACGACTCGGAACCAGAACCCAAGCCATAACGGGGAAAATGTCCTAGCTCGAGCATTGACTGGGGCGTTCAGCACTCAACCCCCTGGGCCGAAACTCAGCTATGCCTGATCGTCCACTGCCTATCTGTCAATCATCCTCTGCGCGCTGCGCACAGCGCCACCGGATGCACGAGCCGCTACCATGCTCCGTGTCCAGCCGTTGCCTAGTTGAAAATGCGATAAGCCCATAGCCCCCAAGGCCCGTTCCTCCAGCGCGAGTGCCCATGCCGTGCCCGGTGTTGGAGTGTTCACCCCGTCAACCATATCCGAAACAGCGTTGGATCTTGGTCAAAAAAAGCCGAGATCTAATTGGCTAGAGGATGATAATAATAAGTCGCGCAACTACACGTTTCCCGGATACCCCACTCGCCCCGTGAGAACAAGTGCAAACGCGGGGTATCCCCGCCAGGCCCCAGAGCAGTACTGGAGCACTGCGATGTTTTGAAACAAGCCGTACTAGAGGGTCGGGTTGATCACCTACTATGTAAGTAAGTGATAGCCCACCAGAAAACAAATTGGTACTTAGTTGAATATTGATCCCTGACCCTGAAAATTTTAGCTACTTGGAGTAATGACGTCTGCCCCACTAAGGCTTGGGCCCTGAACAATACCATCACATTTATGACCTGCCCGACGCCAAATACATCGCCCCAATGACCTCTGTTGAGATACAAGCTCACCTACAGTATTTGACTTAGGATTAATGTCCGCTTTATGATTACATAAGCGCGTCCAGTCTTTTACATTCGTAGATTGTCTCTCATTTTAACAATACACCAATACTATAGATCTATACACATCTCATAATATCTATTTAATCCTCCCATCTACTTCATCGAAAGGTCGCCTTCGGCGACAACACCTTGCTTTTTTAAGCTTTCATTGGCATGAATGGACTTGTCGGACGGATCGCACATTGTCGGACTGTTGATACAAGTTTGCGGGGATTTGTCTTGGACAAAGAATGCACAGGGTTACTATATATAGGCAATTATCGACCGGGGAATGACCTTGACAAGCAAGGTGATCCACTGCCAATAACCTCCCCCCGCTCAACAACATAAGTACTCGAGGTATTACTGAGATCGTACCATCAACACAAAGGCAGATACTAAGTGCAACATTGGACAGGCCACAAGCGTTGTATTGCTGCCGTGTCCTGAATTTGAATACAATAGTAACTTACCTGCCCAGAGCCCATTATAGTCTGGCCCGACAACACGCCAAGTTCCCCATTAGTTTGAGGCCCAATACACTCTCACTCTGATTATGATCATCGTTCATGGTGCTGGTCACCACCAATTAGCTCATGGCCTCCTTAGTATAAATACGTGTACCGACTCAAAAGGGAAACCCCATGTTTTTGTCATTGAGCGCCTACGGGCGCCTGCTGAGGCCCTGCTCGAATAACTAGGTGGAGCCCAATAAAGTTGGAACTTCGGCTATACAGCGTCAAAGCGCTATATCATTTTGCAAACTGCTGTAATGGGCTGAAAAGGCACAACCGAATTTTTGGGAGTCCCCAACAATTGAAGAACTGGTCAATCGCATGAGGAATAAATTGGCGATTCACCATACAGGTTTGTCAGTGATACAACCAATGATCCCGATAGGGAGATTATCGCAGAAGTCAGTGGCAAAAGGCCGCTATGCGTTGTGAGAAAGTGTACTGTACACGAAGAGCCGAACGGAGGGACAAAATTGAACTGCAATGACAACGGTACTCAGGCCACAGAGTGCTAGTGACGGTATATGAAGCGCTAAGCGGGATGGCCAATTTCCAACTTGAAATGGGTGCCCCAAGTTCACGCTCCCCCCGAAGTACGCGTTGGGAAGGCTACCGACACCCCCTCTGGTGGTGTGCCTGTAATATTTATTACGGCGAAAGATAGCCTTCCATTCTCCCCCGCGGCCATTGTCGTGCTTGGTACGACAATACTCGGGAAGAGGTCCCGATCCGATGCTCGCAGCCGTGTCCTCGCGTTGAGCCTGTATATAGACCGGCACTGCAATCAACAGAATGCGTCATTCAAGCACTTCAAGAACGCACAAGGCAGGAGGCAACACACGTAGCCTGTGGCAGATCATCAGAACAGAGGGAGATGGTAAAGGGTGAGAATATACATACAGCTCAGCTCAATGCCAGAGAGCCCGAGGTACAGGGCTGGGGTAGATGTATGGATCAGGATTCACTGTCTCTGTGGAGCGGCTTACTGCTGTGTTGGACGTTCCACTGGCGTCACACATTTAGCAGGGGAAGGCAGATGCTCCGATTTCCTTAACACGATCACGATAGCGATTGCCACTGTGCTGGGGTGGACTAGTTCTTCAACAAGGCAAAATAGGAACATCTGGGGCCATCGTACCTGTTACCATCGTTGTCTCTGCGAATACGTTTGTTAGGCATTGAGTATAGGATTCAAGGTAGGCAGTAGCTCACGGACTGTCCACTGGATTATCTTATCCACTATGTACCTCGTCCTTCGCATACACATTAGCGGGTGTTGACACAAGACGAGCCACTGCACCTGTTGAGTCCGCCCTTTCCGCCATATCAGAGCTGGACGCACATCGATATCGTAGTGCACAGATCCAAGACGGCATTGATTATGAAGATGGAAGTAATCTTCCAGGAGTCCTCAAGACACCACACAAACAGCTGTGCCGCGCTCACGGTGTGCGCCGTGCGCCCGGAGAATGACAAGGCCAGCCCCAGCCCAAGCACCAACAACGTACAGCATGGCACCAGAACCCACACACAGTGCCCGAACCGGTACATGCGGTAGATGTACACACCCTATACAATAGTGGATGAGCACAAGCACATGCGGGGCACCACAAATGAGGACCTGGGCGTAACAATGCGTCAACGCCTGTATCATCCCGGAGATTGGGAGTAATAGGGGAATGGTGACATCGAGAGGGAGCTTGAAGAAGCCCGTGACAAGGACACTGCATTGCCCAGCAGTCGCACACAAAATGGAGCATGGTACCAATCCTATTGCCGGCTTCATCACGCTATGTGGCGCGCGATGCAATTGGGTACGCACCCGATGAATACGATCTGCGCGCACGAAGCGGGTACTGGTAAGGGTAACGATCTCAAGGTATGAACGAAAATGAGACACGCACCGCATATCTCAGCGGGGGCGAGTCCCCCTTGAATTTCAAGAAATAGGCACACATTGCATGGCGATGATTCCGTTTAATATCGCCGCGAGCAGAAAGCACACTGTTACACTCCCCCAAACCTCTTCGGATGACTGCATTATGTTCGGATAGGTTTCGGTGTGTCGGAGACGCTAGTTGGGATCACGAAATGCATCGAGGGGTTCGTTGGGGGTTTTTCTTATAGCATTTGCCATCAAAACCAATGACATTCGTGGTACTGCGCCCGCATTTTACAAAGTTCACATAACAGTTCCGAAATGATGAGGCTTGCAATTATACCCAGGCACTTTTTTCATCATGATTGAATGGAATGACACAATGTTATTTCGATCCTGTAGTGGGATGCAAGTCGGGTCGATGTGCAAACTGGAACCCAAGCCATAGGTCTGCGAGGAAAAGGCCCTAGCTCAAGCATTGACTGGGGCGTTCGCGCTCGACCTCCTGGCTGAAACTCAGAGCTATACCTGATCGTTCACTGTCCATCTGTCGATCAGCGTGCTGCGCACCGCCACCGGATGCACGAGCCGTCGCCATGCTCTGTGTTTAGCCGTTGCCCAGCAGAAAATGCAATAGACCCATAGCTCCAAGGCCCGCTCCTCCAACGCGAGCGCGAGAACTCATGCCGTACCCGGTGTCGGAGTATTCACCCGTCGACCATATCCAAAACAGCGTCGGATGTTGGTCAAAAAAGCCGAGAGAGTCTAAGTCGCGCAACCACAAATTTCCTAGATACACCATAGTGGTACAGCCGCACTAGAGGGTCGAGTTGAACACAGCTAAGTGATAGCCCACCAGAGAACAAACTGATGATTGAATATCGATTACTGGGGGCCACGACACCAGTGATGCGCGATACCAAGGAATACAGCAGTGCTTAATCGGCCACAGAGCTGAATGGAGGAAACAATATAGCGGCTTGAACGAGTGATGATGGATGTCATTGGACCTGGCATGATGAATGTAGCAGAGGGAGCTCCAGGGTTGGTACTCCAGCTATCGTCAAGTTGAACGGTTGCATCATTATATGTCTTTGTTAGTATATCGGTTAGTACACGCGCTTGTCACGTCATTTGAGACGCCGATCGCGCGAAAGCTGGGTTCGACTCCCAGACAGAGAGTATTTTTAGCAATTCGTGTTTAGGCTTTTTCTCCACTAGTCTCTCACCGCTGTGACCTGAAACCATGTTCAAGGTGCGGACGTCGCTGGATGTAAGTAAATTTTATAAGAACATCCACAAAACACGATTGCCACCCCGGGGATATAATTAGCGCGATGCTGCGCAAATAGTAATATATGAAGAGCTTAACGGAGGGACAAAATTGGAGCTGCAATGACAACGGTACTCGGGCCGGAGTGCTAGTCACGGTATATGAAACGCTAAGCGGGACGGCCAAAGGGGTGCCTGGGGTTGGCTCTGGGCCCGGGTTCACATTTCCCCCGAAGTGCGCATCGTCAACACCCCACCCGGTGGTGTACCTGTAATATTCATTACGGCGGAAGACAGCCTTCTATTCTCCCTTGTGGCCATTGTCGTGCTTGGTATGACGATGCTCGAGAAGAGGTCTCGATCCGATGCCCGCAGCCGCGTTCTCGCGTTGAGCCTATGAGTATATGGAACGGCACTGTGATCAATAGAATGCGGTCGCTCAAGTACTTCGAGGACGCACAAGGCCAGAAGGCAACACACGTAGCCTGTGGCAGATCATCAGAACAGAGGGAGATGATGAAGGGTTCGAATGTACATACAATCCAACTCGATGCCAGCGAGCCCAAGGTATAGGGCTGGGGTGGATGTGTGAATCAGGATTCACTGTCTCCGCGGAGCGGCTTACTGCTATGCTGGACGTTCCACTAGTGGCATAGAATCAGCCGGGGAAGGCAGATGTTCCGATTTCCTTACCGCGATCACGATAGCGATCGTCGCCGTGCTAGGGTGCACCAGTTCCTTTCAAGGCGAAACATGAACATCTAGAGTAATCGCACCTTGTTACCATTTCTGTCTCTGGGAATATGTTGTTAGGCATTGAGTATAGGACACAAGGTAGGCCAGTAACTCACGAACTGTCCACTGGATTATCTTATCCACCATGTACCTCGCCCTTCGGATACACATTGGCAGATGTTAGCACTTGAATGCCGAGTCACTGCACCTGTTGAGCCCGCCCTTTCGGCCATACCATAGCTGAACGCACATCGATATCGTAATGCACAAGTCCAAGGCGGCATTAATCGTGAAGATGGAAGTGATTTCCCAGGAGTCTTTGAGATACCACACAAACAGCTGTGCCGCGCTCACGGTGTGCGCCGTGCGCCCGGAGAATGACAAGGCCAGCCCCAGCTCAAGCACCAACAACGTACAGCACGGCACCAGAACCCACACACGGTGCCCGAACCGGTGCATGCGGTAGATGTACACACCCTATACAATAGTGGATGAGCACAAGCAGATGCGGGGCACCACAAATAAGGACCTGCGCGCAACAATGTGTCAAGGCCTGTATCATGGTAGCTATTGAGAGTAATAGGGGAATGGTGACATCGAGAGGGAGCCTGAAGAAGCCAGTGACAAGGACACTGTGCATTACCCAGCATTCGCACGCGAAATGGAGCATGGTACCAAGCCTATTGCCGGTACAATTTCATCACGCTGTGTGGCGCATGCAATTGGATGCGCACCAGATGAACGCGATCTGCGCGCACGAAATGGGTACTGGTAAGTATAACAATCTCAAGGTACGAACGACGCACCGCATATCTTAGCGGGGGCGAGTCCCCCTTAAATTTCGAAAAATAGGCACCCACTTGCATGACAATAATTCCGTTTAATACCGCCGCGAGCAGAAAACATACCGTTACACCCCCCCAGACCTCTTCGAATGACTGCATTATGCTCTGGATAAGTTTCGGTATAGGAGTACGTCAGTCGGGATCACGAAATGCATCGAGGGCTCGTTGGGTTTTTCTTATAGCATTTGCTATCAAAACCAATGACATTCGTGGGCTGTGAGCAGGCGCATACTCAACAATCGGCTTGATTGCGTCCGGAGCCTCACTACCGATTGTTATGAGTTTCGTAGATGTATATGCTAGTTCGGGTGCTCTGGGGAATCGGATCACGGTTAATGATGGTATCGACGACCACCAGCCACAAGCCGGAACTTAATAATTGATACGAAACTTGTTCGGGTAGTCCACAAAAGTTATAGTATTTCGCCGCGAGCATATAAGGTTAAGCAAGTTGTGTTTAGAATTGTTTCAGCACTGTCCCATGCCTTACCGTTCCGCTGATAACGGGGAGGGTTTCAAGGGATGTCCAGTTATACAGATCCGCAGAGTCGGAATAGATATAACGGCCTGAGAGAGGTGCGAATCAGATAGGTAGTCGATCACGCTGAGGGTGTATCATATACCAGTGTTAAATCCATCTGCATATCTAGGAGACTCAAACATCAATAGCCGCCCGAACATAATATGGCTGACTCACAAACGGAACTTTCCATCAGGAAGTTGAGTTACACAGGGGCCTTCGGCTTCGCCCCATCCAGCAAAATCTCCTTGTTGAACAAATGTGTATGGCCCCGTGAGCCGAGATGAGGTGGCGTGCTCAATGTGCTTTTGACCGAGTGACTCTGCTTTGGTGAAAAGATGATATTCATCACTGGGGATCAAATCAGATGATTAAGGAGTTGGATACGGGCGCTGAGAGAAGAGCCACTTGTGGAATAAAGGGAACGTATCAATATATCCGAGTCCTGCGTTTGAGATGCCTTGCATTACAACGGGGCCACTCCATCGGGTAAGTGATTCATCAAGCGCAGTGTAAACATATGGAAGGAATGGGCCATACTGTCCCGTAGACAGGGAAACAATAATATTGAGTTTCCCCGTCTTCGGGTCCTTGAAGAATTCCTATCCCAGAGGATATGTAATGTGGAATAGGAGGTGGAATTGATGAACTTACTGGAGCCCAGGTGTTGAACGGAACAATAACGGACGACTTTGTAGATACCGTTGTGACGAGATTCCATGTGAGGAGATCATTGCTATTCTGGGGTTGCGTTCAGACTTGGTCGGTCCCGAGTATCCGTTTCTTACCGCAATAGCAAAGTCTGTTCCATTCCAATTCGTGGTATCTAATTGACCCGTGAGCGGCGCTTCTGTGCGCTAAGGAGAGCCACTATACAGGCGATATAATATTTTCCACTGTCAACTAGGTCGTCAAGTCCGATTACCACCATGATATTATGAACTCACTCAGTGTGGTGGATGATACTCGGGTCCCTAAGGACACCAGTTTTAGGGGTGTAAGCTGGACCTTTCAGAAGCGAAAAATTGGTGGCGTCATCGGAGGTGTATACATAGAGATCCGTCTCTGAGGAGTTCGTAAAGGCCGTAAACAGGTAGCGGGCAGGAAATATGTTGGAATCCGCAGCAGTTTCAAATGGGATAGATTTGACAAGGTGAAGGCAAGAGCAGAAGAAGATGAAGTAGCCGAAGAGTGAGTGATACATATTGCAGCGCTCCTTGGGTTTAGTACGGATTTTGGTGTGATGGGTGGCCTTCTTATCCTCCGTCAATTGGTTATTCCGAGACATCCGGACCGCAGCGCGAGGTCATGAGCACAGAGAATATTTCAAGACTCATAGTAGAGTTCTCGGGCTGATGTTTGCATCATACATTTCGCCGGGAAGGCGTAAATTCGACTTCTCGAGGCTCGCATCTGTCAAGTGAGGTCATCGGGATCACTGGCATCTGGAGCGGCCCAAATGAAGTGGGTTCTAAATCGGCCGGCTCCATGCCAGCATGCCACGGGAGCCGCGGTACCGTCTGACATTTGCGCGCTACACACATTTAAATCATTGCCATATGGCGAAAATAACGAAATCGGTAGCGCTTCCCAGCTCTGGGGTTTGCTCGGGATTCTAATGATATAAGATAGAGAGCGATCACTCCTCTTCCCGTTGCGTAAAGACCGGTTGGTGCTTAGTGTGGATCCAAGGTGGATAACATGTGGTGTTACGCGGGAGTAGCCCTGCTGCGGGCGCTCAGGCTCCAAAGGTTGGATCCAGGACCGCAAACTCAGCAGAGAACAATTATGTACAGCCGAGGTTATGGCGTTGGTAAATTAATCTGAGTCAGGGCCTGAAATCTTAGGGGTCGCGATCCCGTGATAAATGAACATTCACGTGATGGGCGTGGGGGAAAACGCGTGCGCTTGTTCCTGGCAGTGAGGTTGAACTTAACCACCTCATTGAACATACAAGTCGCAGATTTCAGGCGTTAGGCCATAAAGATGTCTGCTCAAGTATATCCCGCACAATCCCACCAACGCTTCCACCCGACCGGCCCCACATCTCGGCGACACCCGTTCGCCAACGCTGCCAACCAGCAGGCCACTCCACCGAAACCTCAAGAGAAACCGAAGCAACCAGGATCCCCGCCTTTGCCGCGTCAAAATAGTAAAACCACACCGCCTTCACCCCCCAAGATAATCACTGACAGAACCGGCTATTACCAACTCCATCGCGTCGGTTTCTTGGGCGAGGTGAGTTGCCAGCTTATTATAAGTTGATGACCGCTAACGGATTTCATAGGGCGGTTTCGCCCGTGTATACGAAGTCAAAGACACCAAGGGTGCACGTCTCGCATGTAAAGTTATTACCAAAACATCCCTCAAGACCAAAAAGGCTAAAACCAAGGCGTGTATCATGGATGTCACATCTATTTCAGGCAACATCCATTAACCCATCGACTTTTTAGCTCTACGCGGAAATAAAGATCCATCGCGCCCTTGAACATCCTAATATTGTTCGCTTTCAAGAATGCTTCGAGGATGATGATAACGTATACATGACGCTCGAGCTCTGTCCAAGTGGGTCGCTCATGGACCTCCTCCGCCATCGACGCCGATTTACCGAACCCGAGGCACGTTTTTACATGGTCCAGCTCATCGGCGCATGTCACTATATGCATACTCATCAAGTTATTCATCGCGATCTGAAACTTGGAAATCTATTTTTGGACGCAAACATGAATGTCAAAGTCGGTGACTTCGGACTTGCAGCTCTGATCGAGAGCCCCGGCGAGCGCAAGAAAACGATTTGTGGCACACCGAACTACATTGCTCCAGAGGTGTTGTTTGACACTGCCAATGGTCACAGCTTCGAAGTCGACACATGGTCAATAGGCGTCATTTTGTACACCCTGGTTGTTGGCCGTCCCCCATTCCAAACCAAGGACGTTAAAGATATTTATAAGTAGGTTTGCTTTAGGATTGTGGACGTTCCGGCCGCTAAAGTCCTATTGTAGACGCATCCGTGATAACCAATATGAATTCCCGCCCGAGCGCTCCGTTTCTTCGCATTCCCAACATTTAATTCAACAAATTTTAACGTCTGATCCTCAACTGCGCCCTACTCTTCACGACATTGTAGACCACCCATTTTTCACCCAGGGCATTGTTCCATCCTACATCCCAACATCGGCTCATGATGCACCCCCAAATTTCCGTCATATTACGCGGCCTGTTTCGGAGGCCAATCTCAAACGCCTTCGCAGGTTCTCCCTCCTCGACGACGACCAGATGACATACATTTCCGTACCCAAAGCACCGACATCATCAAGCGGTAGTGAAGCTCCAGCCGCCCCGGCCAAGAGCATGACGTCAAGCATAGCTCAACAAGAAAAGGAGTTCCAAAAGGCAGTCCAGCCCGGCTCACCTATCTCTGCGCTATTGAGTTCAGCAAGGCAGCCTTGTTAATGGGCACTGCTAACACCAATGGGAATAACGAAAACCCCTTGTTGAGGAAGTTACAGGCTGTGAAAGAATCTCCTCTAGGGAGACGTCCAGTAATGCGGGCTGTGAATGGGGTTGTCGAGGAGAGTGGCGATGGTGTGGGTAGCCGAGTCAGGGACGATCAGGATGATCAGATGAGGTCAAGGAAGAAAGAGCTTGAATCACAAAAGGCGAGAATTGTGGCTCAGATGGCGCCAGTGCGAGAAGAGGACGATGATATGGATGTCGTGGAAACTCTACCTCGCACCAAAATTGTGGATCGCGAAAATATGCCTCCTAGTAGCTCTGAATTGCGCAAGGAGGGACTCAGATGAGGGAGAGACAGAAAGCGGTCGGGAAGGATCTCCCTGCTCTACCTGGTGAGTTCACATCCAACACATCGCCTTACACATTAATCAAAATTTTCTAACAGGCTCTGGGCTCGTTCCCGCACCCCCGCGCCCAAGTTGAATGGATTCGATGCTGCTGCCCAAATCCTTAGCCTCGCCTTTGATGCCAAAGCCTCTGGGAAACTTTTCCGTGACCCCCGCGAAGACGCCCACCTGCCGCTCCCCAATGAACGCGTTTTCATAGTCTCATGGGTCGATTATTGTAACAAGTATGGGATGGGATATGCATTGACTGACGGTAGCGTTGGTGTGCATTTTAACGACAGCACAACCCTGGTTTTAAGCCCAGACAAACAGTGCGGCCCACCTAAAATTACCCATTCCCTTAACTTAACTTTGGTCCCAGACATTTCGATTATATTACATCGCGCCGCCAGGGCACAATTATGCCAGGAAATCCCACCATGTAGATGAATACCCTGAAGATCTCAAAAGCAAGTGTACTGTTGAACACTTTGAGAGATATATATGGATCGATTGTATGGAGAGTACGAGTATACCTTCGAGGATGTCGGCCGGTCCCATGGTATGGAATGGGTGCAGAAATATTTGAGGATGAAGCACGTTATCGTGTTCAAGTTGAGCCATGATGTTCTCCAGGTGAGTCGTGCATTCCCATAAACCTTTAATCTCGCTTAAACTTGCCCTATAGTTCAACTTTTACGATCATTCCAAGGTTATCCTATCGTCCCATGGTCTCCTCATTACCCACATAGACAAGAATTACAAAATGACTCGCTGGACACTCAGCGATGTTATGGCATTATCGCTTCAATCCCCCGCCAATATGGACCAGGACCAAGCCAAGTTCAACCAGCGCTTGGTGGACAAGCTCAAGTATTGCAAGGAGGTCCTCATTAGCATCCGAACGGCGAGTGCCAATGGCGTCGCCGTACCCGAGGAGGGAGGCCCCATCGAGCCCATGGCGTCGAACAAGCCAGGACCAACAGTGGCTGTTAGCGCCAGATCGTCGAAAACCTCGTTGCGATAGCATGGCTCGCTGATACGTGAGACGATACAGGTCGTCTTAGCGTCGTTCCCATTTATGTGATACCCGGCTACTGTGGCTCGATGCCCTCTGGATTCAAGTTTCAAGTATTATTTTCCCCGCAAACTGCACAATGTCCATATTACGAATGACCATACACACCAATCCTTATTCACTTCATCTATATCCACTCATCATCATATAGTTCATGAACAATACCATTCAGATATGACTACCATTATCACGTTACTACATCCTTACCACGAACCGATGATGAATCAACAATGACTCCGCCCGAAACTTGTACATCATGGGGGACTACATGTGGTATCTGCGTAGAATGAGGGCTCTTGTAGAATTTGAGCTCGCAACGTTCAACCACGTTGTGCGGCCAGACCAACATTCCAGCGTTCAACGTTGCAACCCTGACCGTGGTGGCACGCTGCTTGACGTCAGAAAGCCATCAAGCAACCGCATGTTTCCCAGGTCAACCACAACCTCAACGCCTATAACACGATGCAACTTGGAAATCAAGGACCAGATATTTCTAAACTCCTAGGAACTGTGATCTGGCCGGCTTGCTCTTTTTATCCCAGTCTCAAGCTGCACAATAACTTATTTTACACCCCAACCTGCTCTTGACGCCAAAGAAACCATCAATCACTAGCCTGAGATCTCTTCCTCGCCCTCAGCTTGGATGCCACAATAATGCATGAGCCTCCAATTCCTTTGTTGCTCGTTCCACAACTTCCACGGTAGTTTTAGTGGACTCGGTCAGGCGCGCATCCAAAACTATACTTAAGCTGCTGCTTCTGCGGAGTATACCTGTACTTTTCCAAAACAACTTCCTGAAAAAAAATGTCGACCCACTGGTATCCTGATGGTTACAATTACCCATCTGTCTTCCACCCTCCCAGCCAAGTTGCCTCGAGCTCGTCGGGGAGGACCCCCAATACTGCATATTCTCCACCCACAACACGGGGTCCTCATGGATACTATCCTCGATCCCCCCATTTCCCCCGGGCGCTTCAACACCAAGCATCTCGAGCCCCCGTTCTCAACCAGCACCCCGACCTAATAGATGGCATCGACTATTTCAAGGTAACGTATCTATCCTTACGTACTAATCAGTGATTGAACAGGATTAAATACAGATTGGCGAAACGGTTCGTGTTCGTAGATACCATGCACAGAAGGACGAGTACACCTCGTGGCTGACCGGGAAAGTGGAGCGCCCGGTGCTCGTTCCGGATGCGGTATGTTTCCAAAACATACCCCCCGCAAAATCCGCCTACAATTTTAATTTTTAGCTTGGCGGAACGAAGAGATCATATATTGTTTCGTACACCAACCCCCACACTGGGATATCCCAGGAAAAAATGTTCTCTCCGTTCCTTAACGAAATTTCAGAGGTGCCGGTTCCGCAGATGGTATCTATGCCGCGGGTTTCCGAGCAGGTGGGTCCAACCGCGCAATCAATGTAGATAAATCGGGAATAAATCATCTCTAGCGACTCGTATTCGCATTGGTCCCAGCGATGGCGAAGGATGGTAATCCATCACATCATCAGGTTTGGACACCTTCTCTGCTTCTGGTAAGCCCCTATCCCATAGCGGTTAAGGGCATTATTTACGCTAGCCTTAGACGCGTCCGACTGATCGTGGCGCACGAGTCCGCATTATGGCAGGTCCTGCAAAAAATAAGGAGATTAACAATGTGAAGTTTATCACGACTTACTCTCCTCAACACGCCACGGATCTTCGCCGCCGGGGCGCTGAAGTAATTGGCGATGGTCGTCGTGAATATTAATGTAGTTGTGCTTCTATTTCATGTACATCCGTACCTCTTACTCGCAATGATAATATTGCCTTACTCTGGGTAGTATGGCAGATTCGATCATTTAGTAGCGTGTTGCATGTTTGTGCGGCTTCTAGCTCCTGCGGGCAAAAAGGAGATCTCTCTGTCTGGGAGTCGAACCCAGCTTTCGCGCGGTTTTCCCGGGAATTTGGGATGACAAGCGCGTGTACTAACCGATATACTAACAAAGATACATGGAGAGCTGCGAAATTTAATTGAACTAAAATCCTCAGCCTACCAGAATCAGATTTGGGCTGCTTGGTACCCAGGTTGGTTGGGTAGATGGGAAAATTACCCTCGCCTATGGTCCGACAGTAGGAGGTTAGGCTGATTGTGGATTTCCGCGGGAATGATTAACATCCAATATTTTGCATGCAGGTGCCAATATTAGTCCTCAAGACGGTCGTATTGGCCCACTGCGGCTTCGATCATATGGGCTGTGTAAGGAACTCTTCAAACAGGGGTTGTTAAAATAGAACTATGGATTAATGGTGGGGTGCGGTTGTAATAATCACCTAAGCTAAATGGATATCTGGTTGCCATTTTCATGACCAGAGTCTGGACAGTGACTATATTCCGTGCCCCTGGCAAATTTATTTATGGTAGTTTGACATTGTTGTCCACGATGGTATCGGCTTTTGGACTTCCGTCCAAATTCAGTCGCCAAACCTCCGTGTAGAAATTGTCGCAATGCAGGACGGACGCGCCCCCAGGTACGCAGTATAGTGATGCTTATATAGAAGCCGATTTTGATATACGTTTAGGATCAAGAACGTGCACCGGCCCCTGTGCAGGTGAGTAGAAAATCCAAGTGCTGTCAGTGGCGACGCTAACCAGCAAACAGATCACAGCGGAGCAAATCCTAAGAGAGGTTTTACTTTCATTCCTGTTGAAATCGTTGCCATTCTGAAGTGAGGATAGGCACAAGAACGGCAAGAAACTGCTTTCCGAGCACCTAAGCAGCGGGTCGAGGATTCGAAGAGCTTAGCGAGTATCAAGGACGCAAACGAAAAGAGTTTGAGGAGCGTATACGGCGGACTAGGGGAAGCATGTGTGGCTCAATATTCGTCTCCCGGTCAAACTCCTACTCACCAATGATCATTTAGAAAAGAATGGTTACAATATGCAAACTGGGAGGTATGCACTTTTATCTTTTGAGCAAGCGCTGTGTGATGTAATACCCAACAAACCAGGCTGGCCAAAACGACTTTGCGCGTTCGCGTTCCATCTTTGAACGTGCTTTGGATGTCGACCCACGCAGCGTTCAGCTCTGGCTCTCGTATACTGAAATGGAGCTTAAATCACGTAACGTCCAACACGCGCGCAATCTCTTTGACAGAGCCGTCACCCTCCTTCCTCGCGTCGATCAGCTTTGGTACAAATATGTATATCTCGAAGAGCTATTGCAGAATGTCCAGGAGCGCGCCAGGTGTTCGAACGGTGGATGAAATGGGAGCCCGATGATAAGGCGTGGCAGGCATATATCAAGCTTGAAGAGCGATACAATGAGTTGGATAGAGCTAGCGCGATCTATGAGAGGTGGATTGGTGTGCGGCCAGAGCCTAGGGTATGGGTTAAGTGGGGGAAATTCGAGGAAGACCGGGGAAATTTGGATAAGGCACGCGAAGTGTTCCAAACCGCTCTTGGGTTTTATGGAGACGAAGAAGAGCTTGTGGAAAAGGCTCAGGCAGTTTTTAGCGCCTTTGCAAAGATGGAACTAGACTGAAAGAATATGAACGAGCTCGGGTTATTTATAAAGTACGATTCACAACCCTTTCGACTAGGAAACCACTAAAATTGACACATTTCTATAGTTTGCCCTTGCTCGGATTCCTAGGTCCAAGTCTGCCTCACTTTATGCATCGTACACCAAATTTGAAAAGCAGCATGGAACACGCAACACTCTTGAGAGTACTGTGTTAGGCAAGCGGCGAATCCAATACGAAGAAGAGCTTGCTCATGATGGAAGAAATTACGACGTTTGGTTTGATTATACACGGCTAGAAGAGGGTGCATGGCGGGATTTGCGGGATGAGGGCTCAACAGATGAGGAACTTGAGGCGGCGTCCGGTCGCGTGCGGGATGTCTATGAGAGAGCCATCTCACAGGTTCCTCCCGGTGGAGAAAAGCGCCATTGGAGGAGATACATATTCTTGTGGTTGGATTATGCCTTGTTTGAAGAAATTGAAACGAAGGTATTGTTTTCCTCCAGTGCAGCTGGGATCTCCCTAACCAGGTATCAACAGGATACAACCGCGCACGTCAGATATATGAAACCGCCATCAAGCTGGTCCCCCATAAACAATTTACCTTTGCAAAACTATGGCTGATGTTCGCGAAGTTTGAAATACGGCGGATTGAATTGACAAAAGCCCGCAAAATCATGGGCGCGGCGATAGGAATGTGTCCCAAAGAGGCCTTGTTCAAAGGGTACATTGATCTTGAAGTTGAGGTATGTAGCCTAGCCAGACAGGCGTTCTTCTATTTACCTCTTATATAGCTCCGCGAATTCGACAATGCACGGAAACTTTATCAAAAATATCTTGAAGTATGTGGTCCACCCCACCACACCTCCTACCTCTCACCTATTTACAGTTTGATCCAGCTAACTCTCCAGCCTGGATTAAATACGCGGAACTAGAGTCACACTCCAGGACTTCGCACGAACCCGCGCCATATTCGAACTGGGCGTTTCCCATCCCCACTTTCTATGCCTGAACTTCTATGGAAAGCGTACATTGACTTTGAATTTGAAGAGGGCGAGCGAGAACGAGCCCGGGCGCTGTACGAACGCCTCATTGCTCTGAGTGGACACGTCAAGGTTTGGATTGCGTTCGCCTCATTCGAGGCGGAACCTATCCCGATTCCGCGGGCGCAACGGGAAGAGGAGGAGGCAGATGAGGGAGAGGATGAAGATGAAGAGGTAAAGACAACCCCCGGCGATCCATCCCTTGCAAGGCAGGTCTTTGAAAGGGGATATAAAGACATGAAAAATAAGGGTATGAAGAGCGAGGTAGGCAGCGGATTCAACATTGGTTGTTATATCGCTTATTCGACCGCAGCGTGTTGCCCTCCTTGAGGTCTGGAAGACCTTTGAAGAGAACAACGGAACATCCGAGGATGTTGTCAAGGTCCAAGGCATGATGCCAATTGTCAGCAAACGTCGGCATGTCGACCAAGAAACTGGCCAAACCGTTGAGGGTTGGTCTCACCGCCAATTACTCGGTACAAGTCCGCTAATCATTGCTTTCTTTAGATTGGGACCTCGTCTTTGCAGATGACGAGCAGGAGTCAAACCCCACATCTTTCAAATTCCTTCAGATGGCCCATGCCTGGAAAAAGGCCCAAGCGAAGGGCTCTGGTGCTGCACTTTCTGGGTTTACGGCCTCGACAAATCTATCATCAGCAGAATCGGGGCGTGACGACGCCAATGATGTGGCTAGTTCACATGGGGGCGATTCTGATTAGTTGTATCAATTGCTTAATTACTAAGCTCCAGGCTATACAAGAGGGCCTTGAGATGTAAATAGTATTACAGTATGTTATGATTTCAAGGAGAACGGGTAGGGAGGGCATAAAGTCTTGGGAAGTTTTATTCCTCGGCCAATAAATCGTTGACTTCTTCCTCCGAGTCTGGGTCTGGATCCATGATGGAGTCGAAGGGAATTTCAGACGATGCATCACCAGCATCCTCATCGGCTGCACTAATGTCATCTCCGGCATGTTCGCTCTTGATGGTTGATCTGCATGAAAGTGAGGGAGGTTAGATCTGGGCTGTTCGACTTGTGGATTGCTTGCCTTGGTTTGGGCTTGGGTTTGGGGGTTGCGTCGTCACTGTCGGAACTAATTCGATAATCTGGGGCTGCTTCGTGGCGCTGGTACAATCAGTCAGTGGTAACATCCAGTGAGACGAGTAAAAAGTAGGTACGCCGATCTTTTGGGCATAGTTCTTGTTGGTGCTGTTGATCCACGTCGGGGTGGGTCTATTTCGGCGAGATCCGAGTCATCCGAAGTCGAAAGCCGCCGGCGCCTTAGGGATATAAGAATAAGAATATTGACGACAGGCTTGAAACACCCACTTCGACTTGTTCTTCCCACTCCGGCGCGAGGTGGGTGGCGAGTCAGAGAATTCCTCTGAGCTGCTCTTCGCAACACTCTCGGACATCCTTTTGTAGAACCATCAGCTGTGCATTGACTGGCCCTGGAAAAAAATCTTGCCGTTTCCGACCCCGTTTCTTTGGTACATCAGTGTCTTCATCCTCAGGTATAACTGAATCCAAAAATTCGAATAAGTCCTTTAGCTCTTCAAGTTTCCTATATTCTTCCTCGCTGAAATCCTCTAGCTGCTTCTCGAATTTCTTGGAGATAAGTGTGTCGAATTTTGTGAATGCGTTATTGGTTACAGTGTCGTGAAGGGGGCGTCGCTAGGGGATTGTGAGTTTTACGCAACAGGAGGGATCGGAACGCTCACCAAGTGCACATGATGAATGTAGAGTTTCAAAGTGCGGATTTTATCATCATCAACTGTGTCTGGAATGTGCAATTTTGACAAAATTTGGCAAAGCACTTTCTTGTCCTCTCCTACCGTCGACCATTATTTTCCGTGCTATGAGACATGCCAGTGACTTACTCTCCAGATCATCATGCTCCAGCATTGCTTTGAATATATCAATAGCGAGATCTATGTGGATGGATTCATTTTCCATATGGGTTTCTGTATTCGCGTTGCTAAAATGCTATTAGCCTTACGATCAATAAGAACTTAGGCTGATCTCACGCCGCTGGTGAGAGTTTTAGAGGGTCTGTCCAGTCGACAAACATAGCTCCGATCTGAGAAAGGCTAACCATCCCCTCATCTTCCTCAAGTTCTTCGTGACGCGTTTTCAGGTCCATGAAGAGTTCAATGAAAATCTGCGCGAGTTAGGAGGGGGTATACCATCGGTATTGGGCGAAAGTACCTTTTGGATTCGCTGCTGATTGGAGTGTGAAGAATAGCTATAGACTTGGAGGAAGAAAGTGAGGCATTGTAGAAGTTCTTGGTTATCAGCGGTGGCTGGGGAAAAGTATACTACAATTAAATTTTTGACAGCCTGAAGGATTATATAGATACTAGTTAGAATAAAAATGACCCAGAACGCGACAATACGTACACAAATATCATGGATTACGCCAGAGAGGACCAATTTAGAAA